GGAGCAACAGCAGGAGTGAAACTGAAAAGAGGAGTAAATGGATTATGTGGACGCAGGAGGACGAGGCCGAACAGCAGCAGCAGGAACTAGAGTGCAAAGAGCAGGAGGAACTGAAGTGGAAAGAGCGACGACGATACAGTTTTCCGGATCCAGAAAGGGTCCCGCGCGCCGGGGCGAGAGCGCTTTTCTGACCGACTGGAGCAAAGCGCCGATCCGAAAATGAGACCCACCCCGCAGTGGGAACACTCTGAAACACCGACTGCAATCGGACCGTTAAAACCGTACGAAACATCGCCTTTGCCCAATCCTGTTCAAACAAAGACAGCACGCGGAGAGAACCCGCTATCCTCCGAACGGAGCCAGGGCAGGGAGGAGAGTAGTATTCATTTTATTTGTAAGTGTAAAGAAGAGGAGGAACGATGAGAGGGCAAGCTAGATGCTCTCGTTCCATATCTGACGTCTATCCCTCCCTCCCATTTCTTACTAGTGCGTAGAGCCCCCCTCTATTCGCACAGTCGGATTTCGACGGGGACAGCGGTCCGTAAAGGGTGGCAGTGCACAGCATGGCATAGCATTGCGTAGTCAAGCATTGCATACCATAGCATTGCAACGCACGGCATATATCGCATAGCGGTGCGTAAGACAACATAGCCTGGCATGGTATGCAAGTGTATTTGATGGCATTGCGTAGCCCAGCGTTGCGTATCACAGCGTTGCAGGGCAAGTCATGGAATCAAATAATGCGGTCGGCAACATTGCATGGAATTGCATACCGTGGTTGCGTGACTGGTGCAGCTGGAAGACCATGCTGAAGGACCGACAATGTGGAGTTGAGGTCGGTGCTGTAGCGGGAGCACCGCTCTAAAGGACCGAAAACGTGGAAATGAGGCCAGCGCTGCAGCGAGAGCACCATTCGGAAGGACCGACAACGCGGAGATGAGACCAGCGTTTCAGCGGGAGCACGATTTTCAAGGACCGAAGATGCGGAGATGAGACCAGCGCTTCAGCGGGAGCACGATTTTGAAGGACCAGAAGTTTCGACCTGAGGGCAGCGCTGCAGCGGGAGCTTTATTTTGAAGGATCACATGCGATCGGGTGAGACAACATGTAAGAAAGCAACTTGTCAAATCTTGTCTGCGAAACAAGACGCGGACAGGGTGGGACATTTTCCGGACAGAGTCATGGGAGAGGGGACAGTAGTGTTCAGAATTTGTATTTTTTGAGGGGGAGTAGGACGAGTTCTAAACCAAGGCGTGTCAACGGTGTTGCAACAACGCGCCCCTCCAAGTCCATTCTTCGTAGGTCCCTGTAAGATTTTTGATATCGTGGGAAGTGCCCTATTGGAAGACAACCCTTCGAGAATCCTTACTCGTGCCAAAACACCATCCCTGGGACTTCACCACCGCGAGCCAACGTGATTCTTGCGTTCTGACAATCCTAAGTCGCACCTAGGCACTATTCCATGGGGCTTCAGTCTGCTGCACCCTTTGAAGGCGAATGCGCGCGGCGCTGAGGCGAGAGCCTTCCATCTGTGGCACCTGTTGCGGACTTTCATGACGAATGTGCCCGGCGCCAAGGCGAGAGCCTCATTTTTGAGAACAGCCCGCCCTCCAGCCTCACGGCTGCTAGAGCTGTTGTGCGACGAATGCGGCGGCGCTGCGGGGAGACCCAGATTTTGAAAGTGGGCCGGCCTCCATCTTTGAAGTTGCTGTTCACTTCAAGTTTCAGGATGATGCGTTGTGTTGAGTCTCAGGCAGAGCTTCGGGCCCACCCTACGGCCCACCCTACGAAACTAGGGATGAACGAGGAGGACAGAGTTTGGAGGTGGAGGAGGAGTACGAGACGCAAGCCATGATGATGTTGCTATTGCTGTTGCTGTTGCTGTTGTTATGTTGTTGAGATTGTTGTGATTTGTTGTGGTTGTGGTTGTGGTTGTGGTTGTGGTTGTGGTTGTTGTTGTGGTGGTGGTGTTGATTGTTGTTGTTGTTGCTGTTGTTGTTGTGGTTGTTGTTTTTGTGGTTGTTGGCATTGACGTTGTTGATGCTGTTGTGGTTGCCGTGGTTGTCATTGTTCTTGTTGTGGTTGTTGTTGTTTTTGTGGCTGGTGTTGGTTTTGGTGATGTTGTTCGTGTTGTGATTGTTGTTCTTGGTGCTGCTGTTGCGGCTGTTGCCGTTGTTGATGATATGGTGATGATAATTATGAAAATGACGATGGTGATGACGATGATGATGACGAGGAAGAGGAGGAGAAGGAGGAGGAGGATGAGGAGAAGGAGGGGGAGGGGAGGAAGGAGAGGAATGTTTCTACCTACCGATGGGGTGAACCAGCCTCGGGCGTCAGCGTAAGGTGGAAGAGAAGGAGTACGAGGCTGGCCAGGGGCGGATAGTAGGACCAAGACTTCCTTGCTGCGGGTAACCCCCGTCGTGCTGCTGGGTGCGCCAAGTCCGCGGGCGGCACGGCTGGATGATGAGATGGAGTGGGGAGGAGGGTAGGGAGGAGGGTAGAGGATGATGGAGGAGGAGGAGGCGGGAGGGAGTGAGTGAGGGAGGGAAGGATGGAAGGGAGGGGAGGGGAGGGGTGGGGTGGGAGGGAGGGAGGAAGGGGAGGAAGGAAGGGAGGGGAGGGCGTTGCGGGCGGGAGGGCGGGCGGGAGGGAGGGAGGGAGGAGGAGGAGGAAGAGCAGGAGGAGGAGGAGGAAGAGGATCATGATGATGATGACGAGGAGGAGGAGGAGGAGGAGGAGGAGTCGGGGGAGGGGGAGGAGGTGGTGGAACGGGGAGGATAGGGAGGGAGTCACGATGTAGTATGCGATCGACGTTACCGCAGGATGCTTTGGTCTGGTCAGGGGAAGTCGCGGAGGGGGAGAAAAAGGAACAGCAACACTAGCAGCAAGAGGAGGAGGAAGAGGAGGAGGAGGAGGAGGAGGACCAGTGTACACTCACGAGTCATCAACGATGTTGGAATACACCCTCCCTCCAAGCCCCCTCTTCACAGGCCCCTGCAACGGTTCATTTCGACTGAGGGAACTTCTTCGTTGGAGGACAACCGTTTGAAGACCCTGGAGCATGTCAAAACATTGCTCTCGAAATTCCAACGCCACGGGTCAACCTGACTGTTGCGCCTTGGCGATCCAGACTCGCGTCAGAACGCCATTCCTGGGACTTCAACACCGCGAATCAACGTAACTGTTGCGCTCATAATCCTGAATCCTTCCGAAACTTCTGGTACGTTGATAATGGGAACCAGTGAAAGTCTGGCAACTTTACCCAAACGAATGTGCGCGGCGCTAAGGCGCGAGCCACATTTTGAAAACCACTCGCCCTCAATCCACGAAGCTCTAGCACATGTTTATTCAGAGTGTACGCGGCGCTGAAGCGAGCGGCACATTTTGAAAACCAGCCGCCCTCAATCCGTGACACTCTCGCGAATGGTTAAAACGAATGTGCGTGGCGCTAGGCGAGAGCCACATTTTGAAACCGACCCGCCCTCAATCCGTAAAACTCTTGCAAACGTTAAAAGCGAATGTGCGCAGTGATAAGGCGAGAGCCACATTTTGAAGACCGCCCGCCCTCAATCCGTGAAGCTCTTGCACATTTTTGAAAATGATATGCGCGACGCGAAGGCGAGAGCCACATTTCGAAAACGACCCGCCCTTCATCTGTGAAGCTGTTGCTGCCAATTTTTAAGCTTCAGGGTCATAGATGGTGAGGAAGGCTCAGGCGAAACGCCCGGCCCGCCCTAAAAACTGGCCTAGGGGTGCGACGGGGAAAAGTTATCTATAAGGAAAAGGAGCGGAGGAGGAGGAGAAGGAGGAGGATCAGCTCGCCTTTTCTGAGGTTTCCAGGAGTTCCTTGACAAGGACTACGGCTTCGCGCAGCTCGCCAAGAAGGCGCTGTGGAAAGACCTGTCGGAGAATAGGCAGGGCGCGGTGAACGACGAGCTGCTAGGCTCGCACCTCGGCAACCGTGCGCACGCCCGTCGGCCCCAGCCCGGCCCATCCTGTGCCCTCGACCGGTGTACCCATCGGTCGTTGCAAGCAGGCTTTGCTGGACTCACAGGTCCCAGTCTGCAGTGAGGGCCTGCTTGCTTCCAGGATGTCCTGGGTTTCTTGGGTTTCGATGGCCTTGCTGTGGAGAGCGTGACGTTCCCCCCAAAAAAATCCATGGGCGTCCTGGGTTCTCAGGGTTGGGTTTCCTCTGGACTCACAGGTCCCAATCTACTCCAGGCGCCTTCTGTTTCAAGAGTCGAGCGGTCTTCCCTCCTCCCTCCTCTCCAGGGGAGGGAGGACAGCCACTCTGCTTTCAGCGCCTTCCTCGTTCAGGTTTCCACGAGCTTCTTCCGAACGATGGGTACGGCCAAGATCGGTAAAGAGGGCGAGTTCGAGATGCTAGGGATCCTTGCGCAGCCTGGTCTCGGGGAATCCTTGGCGCGCTTCCTGGGCCAATGTGCCCTCCAGGTGACATGCTTCGGCATCCCTCGGCGCTCCCTAGGTGCCTCATTGCGGCAGGTTCGCGCCGCTCTGATGCGGCGACGACCCTGGTGTGGGCGTGGCTTTCAAGGTTGAGCGATTCGGTTGGGGCCGAAGTGCTTCGATATCGAACTACCCGCGCTGCCGGAACGCTTTTATCTTTCAAAAGGTTGAGCGCGTTTTGCGCAGTGTCGGAGACCAGCGCACCTAGGGGGCACGCCACGATCTTGCCGTATACCGATTTTGCCTGCAGACCCACGCTCAGGATGGGCCCTCGCCGGGGCTGGGGGTCGTCTGCACAGCTGCCGCCCTCCGGGGCAGGACTCGCGGCGGCCCCCGTCGAGGTCATCGGCAGCAGGTCGGCGCGGGAGGAGGAGGAGGAGGAGGAGGAGGAGGAGGAGAAGGAGGAAGAGGCGGAGGAGGCGGAGGATGTGGAGGAGGCGGAGGAGGAGGAGGAGGAAGAGGACTACTACTACTACGACTACTACTACTACTACTGCTACTACTACTGCTACTGCTACTGCTACTGCTACCTACTACTACTACTACTACTACTACTACTACTACTACTACGACTACTACTACTACTACTACTACTACTACTACTACTACTACTACTACTACTACTACTACTACTACTACTACTACTACTACTACTACTACTACTACTACTACTACTACTACTACTACTACTACTACTACTACTACTACTACCTACTACTACTACCTACTACTACCTACCACTACCTACTACTACTACTACTACCTACTATTATTTATTATTATTTATTACTACTACTACTACTACCACTACTACTACGACCACTGCTACTACTAGTACTAAGACTACTAATAACACTACTAATCGTAATGATGCTAATACTTACAATCAGAATACCGATAATAATACTACGACTAATAAGCATAAGGAGAAGGCTAATGCTAACACGAAGAGTAATCATACGAGCACTACTTATAACAATACTATCAAGAAAACGAAGAGCAGTACTAATCTTGATACTACGATTGAGAATCATACTACTGACACTACTAATGCTACTAATACTAAACTAAGAAGAAGAGCACTAACACTATTAACCCTGATGTTAAGAATAATAAGCATACAAATGCGAGTAAAACATGGTATTATTATTATTACTACTACTACTACTACTACTACTACTACCTACTACTACTACTACTACTCCTACTACTACTACCTACTACCTACTACTACTACTACTACTACTACTACTACTACTACTACTACCTACTACTACCTACTACTACCTACTACTACCTACTACTACCTACTACTACTACTACCACTACTACTACGACCACTGCTACTACTAGTACTAAGACTACTAATAACACTACTAATCGTAATGCTACTAATAATTGCAATCATAATACCGGTACTAATACTACGACTAATAAGCATAAGGAGAAGGCTAATGCTAACACGAAGAGTAATAATACGAGCACTACTTATAACAATACTATCAAGAATACGAAGAGCAGTACTAATCTTGATACTACGATTATGCGAGTAAAAATGGTACTACTACTACTACTACTACTATTACTACTACTACTACTACTACTACTGCTACTGCTACTACTACTACTACTAGTACTAGTACTAGTACTAGTACTAGTACTACTACTACTACTACTACTACTACTACTACTACTACTACTACTACTACTACTACTACGACTACTACTACTACTACTACTACTACTACTACTACTACGACAACTACTACTAATAATAGTAATACTAATAATAGTAATAATAATCATAATAATACTAATGCGACTAATAATACGACGAAGACGCATAAGAAGAATAGGATAATGGGGATGTGGAGGAGGAGGAGGAGGAGGAATGCAGCCGGCTGGTCGCCACTTTTTGGCCTCTGCCTGACGCCAATACAGTGGCGAAGGAATACAGTGGCGAAGGAAAACGGGTCTGCCTGTGTGCGCGCAAGCTTCTCTCGCGAGGTCGTGCGTGAGCGCTCTCGTCAGTGTGCCACGCTGGCGGCCCGGGTAAGCCGCCGCGCGAGGTCGCTATTAGCTATGGCATCTTGTGTGACGCTCCGTGGCGAACCCCATCCCTGCGGGTCCAGTCGACGCTGGCGTGTCGGACCCCCCCCCCGCTGGGGTTCGCGCTTGGCTGCAGGCATCCTCAGAATTCCGAGCCCCCGACGGCGTTCCAGAAATTTGACCTGCCGGGGTAAGAACTGGGGCTCGTATGTGGCGGCCTTTTTTCAAGCAGTGGAGAAGCGTCTGAGGTCGCCTGTAGGCCTACCAAAGAATGTTCCAATAAGTTTGTGTGGTCTGCACGAAACGTTCTTGGAACATTTCTGGCTGAGACTGTCTCGTTTTAGGGCCTGTGTTATAAGAACTTTGTTTTTGTTCTTAGAACACTTCTTGGGTTCTACGAAAACGTCGTGGTAGGCCTACAGGATTGCCGGGACGGTCGGTCCCTGCTCACTTTTTGGAGGCCAGCCTCGGGCCCCGGGACCGTCGAAGACCGACTCGGGAGATGACAGGCCGGCCCTCTGGAAGGTCGAACGGGGCTGGGACGGGGATCCATCCGTGCCACAGCGCTGCGGGACGCCCTGAGGAGGTCGCGGCGCCCGAGGCATCTTCCAGAGCCGCTGGATCTCGGATATTCTCGATTTGTCCTCGCCCGATCTGAACCTCGTCTTGGCCTCGTCTTAGAGAAGGGGGTCGAGAGGTCCGGAAGCGCGCCTGATGCCTGGGCAGAGAGGGGGCGCGAAAGGAGGGGGGGGCCGTTTTTGTGGCAGCCCTTTCGCCCAACCCAGAGGAGGCTTCCTTCAGAAGCACCCCTTCCGAGAGCTCTCCCCTTGCCCTCGCAGGAAGGCCAGGGGGGCGATGCCCGGGGGAGGGATATCACGGCGGGGGCCACAATCTCTCCCCAGATCTCGTGGCGCCTCTCCTCATTTCAATGTGCGTCCCCGGTCCATCCCCTGGGCCGCGCACCTGCCGGCGGTCCTGAGTTGCGCCCCCCCCCCCCCCTCACCCCCTCAGGGCTCGTCTCGATTCCTCCGATTCGATTCGATACGATCTCGGTGGCTTCCGATTCCGATTCGATTCGACTTGGGATTCCGATTTGGGTTCCGATTTCTTATTGGAGGCATATTAGCCTGCCGATTTCTGCCGATTTGACTCTTTCCGACTCGGCTGCCGATTTCCGCCGATCCGATTCATTACGATCGCCGATCCGACTTCTCGATTCGATTCTGGGCTCTCTTGCCCCCTCTTGGACGCCCCCCTCCTTAGACGCCCCCGAGACGGACGGGGCACAGCGCAGCTCTTTCGGCGTGCCCTCTCCGGCCCGGGACGGGGTCCGCGGAGCCCGAGTGGACACGGCACCCGCCCCCGCACCAGGGGGGCAGGGGCAGATCGCCCGGCGGGGCCAAGGTTCTCAGGTGGGGGTGGTCTAGGCCTCCTCGAATCTAGGCCTCCTAGATGGGGTCCGGGCAGATGGGGTCGGAGGATCGCGCCGCATCGCCGATGCATGGACGATGCAGCTAGATGCGGAGCCCGATTTTCTCCACGCCGACGTCGCCGATGCGTCGTCGATGTTCTCAGGTGTCGAGGCCAAGGTTCTCAGGTGGGGGTGGTCTAGGCCTCCTAGAAGGGGTTGGCGTAGATGGGGTCGGAGGATCGCGCCGCACGGCCGATGCATCGGCGATGCATCGGCGATGCGGCTCGATGTGGGGCCGAATTTTCCCCACGCCGACGTCGCGGATACATCGCCGACGTCGCCAGTGCATGGCCGTGCGGCGATATCCTCCGACCCCATCCACTCGGACCCCACCTGGGAGGCCTCTGGGTGGTGACGGTACTTCGACGGCGACTCGCCAGAGTGGCCTTCGCCCCCCCCCCCCCCCCCAAGCACTGGCCTGCGCGCTTGGATTCCTCCCCCCCTCGCAGCGCCCTTGATCTGGGCCTCCTGGATGGGGTCCAGGTCGATGGGGTCGGAGGATCGCGCCGCATCGCCGATGCGGCTCGATGGGGCCCGTGCTTCCCCACGCCAACGTCGCCGATGCATCGCGAATGTCGCCGATGCATCGCCGATGCATCGCCGATGCATCGGCGAAGCGTTGGCCATGCGGCGCGATCCTTCGAGCCCATCCACTCGGACCCTATCCAGGAGGCCTCTATCCCCCACAGCGCCCTTAAAGTCGCTCGCCAGATGCCTCCTCTTGCCTGGGACCACGCCTGGCGCGTGGCCGGCAGTACAGGTCCAGACGCCGACACACAGAAGGAGCAGTTTCCGAGTGGTCGGGATAGGGGGCCCGCGGTCCTTCGGGGGTCCCTCCGTGGCCGTGCCTGTTCCCCCCTAGCGCTCCTCGTGCACCTGGGACGCTTTTTGGGAACGGAGGTGCACAGAGCTACAGTGGAGACCCACGTCAAGAAACACAGCTTGCCTCCAGGGTGCCCTGGGTGTCTTGGGTTTCGATGGTTTTGCTGTGGAAATCGTGACGTTCCCAAACCAAAATTCAATGGACGTCCTGTTGTCTCAGGGTTGCGTTTCTTGTGGAATGTCTCTTGTGATCGGCCCTTACTGTATTGGCCAGCGTGGACCCCAAACCGGGTAGTTGTAGCAATACATGTGTGTTGTGCAATCGGTGTGGAGAAATCTCGTGCTGTCAATCTGTGTTGTTCAAAATGTGTTGTGCAGTCTATTTGGTGCAGTGTGTGTGGTGCAATCTAAGCAAAGCAATGCAAAGCAGTTCAGAGCAATGCAGTTCAATGAAAAGCAATGCAACAGTGCCATGCAAGACAAAACAATGCAAGGCATTGCATGGCAATGTAACGCAATGCAAACCGACGCAAATCAATGCAACACAATGCAACATTATACAAAGCAGTGCAACGCACTACAAAACAATACACAACATTGAAGAGTAATGCCATGCACAGCACCGCCAAGCAACGCAACGTGAAGCAAAGCAACGCAATGCAACGCAAAGCAATGCAAAGCGATGCAACGCAACTCAAAGCAACGCAATGCACAGCAGTGCAACGACGAGGCGGCCAAGGGGCAGCGACGGCGAGCACAGAGCCGCCAGACCGGTACGCAGGCCCAGACGACTGGCGACGAGGCGGCGACTGGGTGGCGACGGCGAATACGGAGCCGCCAGGCCTGCCCGCAGGCCCACTTCATGTGAAAAGAAAGAAGAAGCTCTGAGTGCAAGCACTCTTTGGGGAAGCGCTGCATACACACACTTTCGAAGATCCGCGCGGGTTTCTTGGATCGGCGCCTGCCCCCTTTGGCGGCACCTTCAGCGCCGCCCCCAGCCGCGCTCCGCGCGCCCGGGGCGGCACTCCGACACTCGATCTGTCTAGGCTTTTGTTTTGTTGTTCGATTTCGTTTCTTGTTTGGCGTTCCCTGTGTCAGCACGATGACCGTACTGTTCCAGGCATGTGCTCGGTAGCAAATCATGGGAGCCTTGTGTACCCTCGTAATTCTGTCTTCACCGTCGATTAGCGTCGATTAGCGTCTGGGAGTGGATGAGATAGCGCCGATTTAGCGTCGATTTAGCGTCGATTTGCAAGAGCCGACAAGATGGTGTGGAAGACTCCCACGAGTTGCCACCGAACTTGTGCACCGCCGAATCAGGGACGACGTCGAAGAGCACCTCGAGGGCGCAGACGGCCGGATCGCCGGGGCCGTCGCGGGCTTCGACGCCTCCGAGGTGGCCTCGGCGCTGCGGCCCGTGCGGGACTGGACAGACCGCACGCAGCGGAAGGTCGCGGAGGCTCGGCGGCGCCCAAGACGGGGGGCAAGTGTCAGGGGGGATTAGGCTCCAGTCGGCATGTTCCTCTACAGGAGGAATGCGCAGAAGTAGTCAACAAATAGTCTGGGGACGATTGTTCGACTATTCTTGCCTATTTGTTTGGGGGGGATAATTTTTCTTCATCGTCCAACATCCGTCTGTAGGAGGACATGCCCGACCTAAGGTTAGGCTCAGGAGGGCTGGTTTCGAACGTTGCCGAAGTTTCTCGACCGTCTTCGATGGCCAGGGCGCGGTTCCCATCCGCTGCGCCTCGTCGAGAGCGTTCTGGGGGTGCCAGAGTCGTCCCGAAGGGTCGCCGAAGGCCCGAGCGATGGCCCGAGAGCCAGGGAGCGGAAGGTCATGGCGGGGACAGGCTCAAGGGGAATATGCATCGACCCCCAATCGCCCAGTCATCCCCCATTCGTCGCCGAGAAGGGCCCGATGGCCTGCCCCGCCCAGGAAGGTGCCGAGCTCCGCTCCGCGCCGACACCGACTCAGGACCTCTCCCCTCTCCCTCCTCGACTGACTTTCTATGCATCTCGCACTGCCTGTGGTTCAGACACCAGATTCCTGAGGCCACGGCCTCGCCCGCCTGGTCTTAGCTAGGCCCGTACGGCGTCCGCAGCGGTGGTCGTAATGTTTAACGTGATGTAATGCCCAGGAAGGTGCAGATTCGCCATCGGGGGCCAGTCGCCGATCTACCGGCGGGAGGATAAGGCGGAGGCGGAGGCGGAGGCGGAGGCGGCGGCGGCGGCGGCAGCGGAGGAGGAGGAGGAGGAGGAGGAGGAGGAGGAGGCGAAGGAGGAGGAGGACCGGTTCCAGGTCGACGTCGCCTCCCCTGGGCCAGTCCTCCCCGCTCTTCTCGTTCCCACTGCGGGCGGGGGGGGAGGGGGGGGCGAAGGGTGGTGGGGGGCGGCCGTCGGGCACCTCTCTGCGGCAGCCCCGCCCGAGGCAGAAGAAGAGCCAGCTTCCCCCTCCACCCTTGCATGGCCTCAAGGCGGGCATGTCCCTCCACTTGAGGAATGTTCAAAAATAGGCCACAAATAGGATGGGCACGTTTTTTCGACAATTGTTCGATCAATTTTGAGCATTGTTGGACAATTTTTCATTTTTCGTCCAAAATCCGCCTGTGGGAGGACATGCCCGACCTAATTTTGCGGCAGCCACGCCTGGAGCACAAGAGCCAACTTCCCCCTCCACCCTTGCATGGCCCCAGGGATCCTTTTGGAGGCCAGGAGGCCCTTGGGAACACCCCATCCCAAGCAAGCGCCAAACTCGAGCATGTCCCCCCAGAATATCTTTCCTTTCCAAACCTCGCAACATAGCTGCTCTGCAATAGACCTTGGACCAGCCTGGGCGACGACAGGGTGAACGAAGTCTCGCGGCCGAAGTCGTTTACCAGAATGGTGAACATAGGCCCCCGGCCTTGCCATTTGCTTATGATGTTCCAACCTACCTGAGCCTTGACCACCAGAAATAATCTCGATCACCAAGAAAGCACCGAAAACGTAGGGTTTTCACGCGTCGGGCCCTGGGAGGCGATACTCGCTCGACGCTGTTTCGATACGTTTCTGGGTGCTCGAAATTATTTCTGGGATGTGGTTCGCAAGTACGATGGGAGCAGCATGAGCCTTGCCATTGGCACGTGTTGCGCTCGTCGCCGCGGGGTCCACGTGTCCCGAGGGAAACGGGCCCAGAGAGGTCTTTTGCGCCGCTCTTGGCCCCTCGGGGCCCTCTCCACGGGGTTCCCTGGGAGCTCTGGCAGTCGGCGGCTCAGGATGGAGAGCTCGCTCCTGGGGGAAGGCACCGGGGTCCAGGACCCTTTGGACGACGATCAATGGGGAGGAATCATGTTGCCAAATGATTTCTAGATGTCTAAATCATGTTTTAAACATGCCTTCAACAGGTAAAACAGCATGTCTCGAACATTGTTAGAACATGTTTGAAACATTCTAAACACATTTCGAAGTCAAGGATCGGATTGTTAGGGTGTCCGTTGTCATGGCATCCACAACGGTGCCCTTCAGGACCCGTCTCCCCCATGCAGGCATGTTCGAGGTCGTTGGTTCTAGATTTTTTCGGCCCCGCTTTTCTGTCAGCGCTCGATAATCTCGGGGGCGGCCAAGAGGGGGGTGATGACTAGGGGGGGTGGATATCATGGCGTGGGCCATGATCTCCCCCAAACTCATGGCGCCTCTTCTTATTTCAATGCGTCCCCGGCCCCCCCTGGGCCGCTGGCCATGATTGGCGCCCCCCCTCTTGGACGCTCCCCTCTTGGCCGCCCCCCGATAAACATCCAGGCCGGGGGGCGGAGGGGGAGAGGGGTCATACGGAGTGGCTCCCGAACGTTTTTTGCACAGCTTTTTCCGTCCGCGGTGTCGCGGGGCCTTCTTGGAGGAGGGCCCTGCTGTCCCCTCCCTTGAGGACTCAGGGAGGGCTCGGGGGCCGCAGGGCCTCCACGATGCGGGGGTGCCTTTCCTTGGGAGCGCGCCCCCCCCCCCCCGCTTCCGCGCCCCCCCGCCCTTCTGCGCGCCGCCGCGAGGTGCTTCAGCGCTTCCCGAACCTGCGGTGGACGGACGCGGGAATCCGGAAGGCGCCCGTCGGGTGAAGCAGCCCCCCTTCCTGGCCCCTCGCGAGAGGCGGGGGAGATCCCCGGGCGGGCACCGTGCCCAGGCCCACGGCCCCGTGGCCCGTCGGCCGTGCGCAGTGCGGGGGGGGGTCTCTTCTGTGCGGTCCCACGAGGGGTCCGGCCATAGCGCCGGCCCTCGCGCTCGGGCGGCCTGCATGTGGTCTCCCCCGCGGCCCCCCGGAAGTTGCGCGCGCACCAAGGGTCGCTCCTGCCCAGGGTCGCCCTCGCGCGTGCCCGAGATCGGCAACGTGCAGAGGGGGTACAGGGCGGGAAGGGGGGAAGGCCTCTTAGGAGGAGGAGGCTGCTTCCGAGAAGGCGCGCGGGCCTTACATCTACCCAGACATGCGACGTCCTGATGTTCTCAGTGACGCTGTCCCGGGAAGTCCAGACCCTTTCCCTGGGGCCGGTTTTTCATCCTGAGTCGCTTTTGGACGGTCCTGAGGCCCGGCGAGGGCCCCCCCGAGGCCCAAATTGGCCAAATACCTGCCGTCCTGATTATTTCACGACGCGATCATGTCTGGGTGTAGATGTGGGGCTGGCGCCTTCTGGGAAGCAGCCTCTGTCTGAGAAGGCTCCCCCTCTCGTCCTACCCTCTTGTGCGCGCCGCCAAGCTCGGACTCCTTCCTCGGCCGCGACCCCTGTGGATGCGGGGCGGCGGTTTTGCGCGGCCGCCCCGCGCGGAATTGTGCCCATGAGGTCGCTCGTGTGTGGTCCTTCCTGGGAACCTCAGAGGGTCCCAAGATTCCTTGCGGTTTGGGGGATATCGCCTGACTCGTCGGAGCCGGTCGACGCCTTGCCGGACGATTCTTATCTGGACGAAGTCTGGATGGAAGGGCGAAGAGGGGTGGTCGAAGTCTGGACGTCATCTGGTCGACATCACTTGTCTGACAGGGCCGCGGAGGTCCGCAGGAGGCTTCCAGGAAGGCTCACCCAGGATCCGCGTGACCCACGGGACGGCGCCTCGGCGTCCAGACCGCGAGGGCATGGACTCTTGTCGTTCCTTGGCCGCAAGGGCATGGCGCGGTCGTCGTCCTCCTGCCTCTCCCGTGTTCCTCCGGGGAACATTGTCACGTGCTCCCCGTTTTTCGTCCGCGTGCGCGTGCGCGAGCGCACGTTCAGGGTCGTGCGCATGTTTTCTCAGGCTGAGACTCGCGCATCCTATATGAACCGCACGCGTCCTTATATCTTCACTCTCGTGCGCACGTGCGTTCCCGTACGCGTGCCGTCTCGTCGTCGTCGTCGTCATTATCCTTGTTCCTGTGCGTCTCATGCTCCTGCTTGTGTTGATATAGTCGTACCCTGCTTGTGCCCAATCTTAAGTTCGTTTCCACCCCCGTGTGCGCACTTACACTCTCACTGGCAATCATTTCCGTGTTCATGCTCGCACTCACACTCTCATTCGAAACAATATCCTGGAAGCTCTCATCATGTGAGCAATCAGTCTCGTACTCATTCTCATGCTCATGCTCAATGTCTGCAGTCACGCGAGTTGATATTTGTCATTATCGTATTCGTGTTTGCTAGTGTTCTAACTTTGGTTCAAAGAGGATCCGTCATCTCTCTCAGGGAGGTCCCAGTGGCTGCCGCCGCAGTGCCGTATAGGCTGCTGGATAGCTTGTTTGTGTGTTGAGTATGACGCCTCTGGGGTGGCCATGTCAAGTCAGCCCAACATCATTCACACGCCACTCTTCAGTATGCCTCTAGAACTGTTTTAGGAATCTACCCAGCAAAACACCAATTACACAATGCAATCTACTCCGAACTCTGAAGCCCCTCAGGAGCCGCTCAAGAGCTCCTCAGGAACCTATCAGGAGCGTTCTCAGGAACCCTCCGAGACTATCTCAGGCCCTCCCGAGAGCCTCTCAGAAACCTACCAGGAGCTTCGCAGGAGCCTCTCAGGGGCCTCCAAATAGCCTCTCAAGAACCTCCCTCTCTCAAGACAGCCTCTCAGGATCCTCGCGGGAACCTTCTACGACCCTCTCGGGACCCTCTCAGGCACCCTCAGGAGCCTCGCAGAAGCATCTCAGTTTTCAGAACCCCTCAGGAGCCTCTCAGGACCCTCCAATTGGCCTGTCAAGAGCCTCTGAGCAGCCTCTCTCTCATGAGCCTGTAACGGCCCCCTCATCAGCATCTCTAGAGCCCCTCAGCAGCCTCAGAGGACCCTGTCAGGACCGTTTCAGGAGCCTATCAGGAGCCTCCCAAGTTTCTCAGGAGCCCTCCTAGCTCTGTGTATATACACATACATATATACATTTCTGTCTGTTCCTATGATTGCAAGCATGGTAAGTTAGAGGATGGGCGATCGCTTCGTCATTACATTGTCAATCATACCACTAGTAGGGTGCTTTGTCAGGGTCATGATGATACATATTTTCCCTTGCTCAGTCTCATGACCATCATCGGATCCAGCGCCGCCCTCGCCACCACCATCGTCCTCATTATCATAGTTCTCGTCCTCGCCGTGCTCGTCCTCGTCGTCCTCATCACCGTCATCTTCATCCTCCTTGTAATCCGCGCGGCCATGTTGTGCCCGCGTCTTGACCCTCGTCCTCGTCCTTGTCGCCAGCCCCTTCGTCGTCATCATCCTTATTGTCGTCTTCATGCTTGTCATCTGGATCCTCCCTTTTCTGTGGTCTTTGCATGAGTGCTAGGGCCCTTGACCAGAGTTGCCTGCGAGGCGTTGGACCCGTTTGTACAGCCCTCTTTTTTCTCCGTGACGCCGTGTGTACATTTCACCGCTTTGCTGCATGACGGAGTCATTGGCGTTGCGGTTCCACGATTGGGGCACTGTCCATCCCGCTGGGCTGTGCCCTTTCCCGCTTCTCTATGGTCTAATGTCTCGGGAGTCCAGGTTCTCAGGCTTGGCAATCTGTCTTTTTGCTCTCTGTGTCGCGTCCCTCTGCTCTCTCTGCCTGCCGCCGCCGCCGCCCCGCGCCCCCCCCACCTCCGCTGAGAACCTGCTACGAGGAGAGGTTCTCCGAAGACCTCTCTCGCGCCCGCCCTTTGGTCCTGGCCCGTTGCGGACGCTTGGAGGGACTGTTGGCCGGACGGCGGCGGTTCGATTCCGTTCTGGTGCGGCATGTGCGGTCGGTTTTTTGGTCGTCCAGAGTATTCGCCCTTTCCCCTCCCGGCGCAGGTTCCCGACGAAATCAGGGGCACCTGCCTGTGGCTGCGGGCCGTCTCTGTCGCCCGGTCCTTTCCCGCTGCAGGTTCCTGGCAGTGTGCAGGCCTTTCACCCCTCACCATGGTTGTTTTTTTGTGTGCTCCCTGCTGCTGCTGCTGCTGCTGCTGCTGCTGCTGCTGGTGCTCCTTCGTGCCCCCCCTGCGTATCCCTCTGCTGCGGCTGCTTCGCTGTGCTGGTGCCCGTGCTGCTTGTGGCGGTTGTGTGAGCCTCTCCGCCGCCATGCTGCGGGCTGGTCGGCGGGCCTCGTTGCGACCAGGGTTTAGTTGCATTGTCGTGTCTCGATTGAGGGCAGGTTGTTTCCCTCGCTCGCCTGTCGCTCTCGCGCCAGGGAGGCATGGATGTTGTCGACCGAGTGCCCCTGCCGCCGTGTGCCGTGCTGCCTCTCCAGGGTGCGCCGTCCTTCCTCTCCTCCCTTGCATCTGCGCGGCTTGGCACCGCCGCTCACGGAGGGGAGCTGGTGAGTTTTCCTCGCGGTTGGGGGGAACGCCCATCATCTTTTACCTTCGTGTTCGTCGCTCGCCTCGCCCTCGTGCCAATCATCCTCACCCTCGTCTTCGTTCCCGTTTTTCTTATATATATAAATATTCAGAGTACATACATTATTATTGTTAGTTTTAAACAACTAACCACGAGCAAGATCCACGTCCTTTCGCTCATGTTCGTGCCCGTCCTGAACCCTGACCCTGGTCTTCATCCTCCTGCTGCCCCTCCTGCTCCTGGTCTTCTTCCCTCATCCGTATCTTGTCCTCTACTTCAATCCAGCCACAATTGTGGGAGCCTCAGTCTTACCATCTGGAGGACCGACCCGCCGGCTTCGCCAGCCATCCGAGAGATCGCGGACGCTGCCGCCTTTGTTGTGGTTGGTCGAGCCGTTTACCCGTTCGCTCTCCAGAAGGATCAACGTCAGGGGGCACAGGCTTTGTGGGGTCGGTCTGTCGTTGCCCTTCAATGGGGGGCGGGGGCACAATGTGGCCTTGGCAGGGGCACGGTGTCTTGGGCCCAGAGCCTTTTCGAACCGCCCCAGTCGGCCGCCTTTACGGACGGCCTGCGCCACGTGGAGCGCGCCCAGAAGAAGATCGAGGCGGCCATCGACAGGAAGGGAGAGGTGTAGCGCGGAGGAGATTCAGCGGGAGCGCAGGGGAGGGTGGCCCCCTTCCCCCTCCTCCTCGTCGTCCTCCTCCTCCTCCTCCTCAGCCCCCTCCGCTCTTCCCCCCCTCCATAGAGGATGGCCTGGGAGTGGCCAGCCCCCCTCCGCGTATTTGTTATACCAGATTTCAGGCATGGATCTTCCCCGTATGTTTTTCCATCTGAGCGCTTCGGTGTCCTAAAATTGTGCTCCCGCTGTAGCGTCGGTCTTATTTTAGCATCGGCGCTTTGCTCTCATCGTTCAGAGTGGGCTCTCGCCCCGGCGCGGGCCGCTTTTGTGGATCCGAATGCTTCCTCATCGTTGTCGTCCTTCTCCGTTCCCCTCCCCTCCCGCCTTCCCTGGTCATCCCGCCCCTCCCGCTTCTCCCATTCCTGCTCCTGCTGCTGCTGTTCCTCCTCGTCCCCCTCCTTCCTCCTCCTCCTCTTCCTCCTGCTGGTCCTCCTGCTGATCCGCCACTTCCTCGAATGTACGCAGCTTCCCTTCTGTGAATTCGCATGACAAAATGGGGTTCCTTGGGGTCTCCCAAGTCCGCTACGACACCCGTCGTCGAATATGAAACAACACAGCGCTCCCCCTCTTCCATCTCCTCCCCGTCCTCCTTCCTCCTACTTATCCTCCTTTTCCTGGGATCGGGGAGGAAAGGGGATGTTGGGGGGTCGGGAGGGGGGTTGGGATCGAGGCCAAGATCGACATCATGCGCCGGCTCCTGACCGCCGACGGCCGAGGGGTCGCAGCCAGCAGGGGGTCGCCGCGCCTCTGGGGGAAGGTAGACGACACGCTGGCAGAGCTGCAGAAGGACCTGGCAGGCGGCCACCAGCTGCTGCTGTTGCTGCTCCACGCTCGCGTTCTCCTCCGCCTCCATCCTCGTCTTTATCATCGTCTCCTTCCTAATCGTCGTCGCTGCGTTCCTCCCAAATACCTTTGTCAAACCACGACCACCTCCCTCCCAGCGTCCTCCTCCCTCCTTGCTTCTCCTGGTCCTCCCTCGTCATCTCTCATGCTTGTCGTTATCTTCCGCAATTCCCCGTCCTCCACTCTACTAATCTACTGCATCCTTGATATCATATCTCGATCCTACCTCCTCCGTGTCCTCACCCTCTCCTCGTCCTCCTGCTGACCTGCGATACATTTGGCGCCTCCGGCGCCAGGGGGCGCCAGAAAAACTGGCTGATTCGCCAACCTCTCCTTTGTGTGATCTCATCTTCGTCCGCCTCGATGGAAGATACAACGTTCTAGAGCGTTCTGGAACGTCCCAAAGCGTCCTGAAACGGCCGCGACCTCCTATATATTCTCCAGACCTGCAATTTTGCAGAGATGCCTGATCTAGCTTCGTCCAGAATGATTACCACCTATCTTGCTTTCGTCTTACTCGACGGCGACGGCGACGAGCTAGAGCTAGAAGCCCATGTGATATGCACCAGGGTGCTGGACAAACAACAGGACACTGAAGCTTTGGAATGTTCAAAGTCGACGATGTTCCAACGCCCGCGTCGAATTCCAAATCTCCACGCATCCTATGACTGCGTCTAATGAAAGCGCTGGCAAACCTGTGACTGGATACTCTTCGCCCTTATTCCCAACCATCCTGTGGTGTTGGGTCCTCGCTTTGAAGAGACAGCGCCCCGCGTCCCACCTCCTCCTTCCTCCTCTCCTCCTCCTCCTCCCTCCTCCCCCATCCTTGACTTTGCTCTCTGCATGTCTCAGCTCACCCCCTCCTCCCATCATCATCATCATCATCATCATCATCATCATCATCATCATCATCATCATCATCATCATCATCATCATCATCATCATCATCATCATCATCATCATCATCATCATCATCATCATCATCAGCATCATCATCATCATCATCATCATCATCATCATCATCATCATCACCACCACCATCATCATCATCATCATCATCATCATCATCATCACCATCATCGGCACCATCGGCATCGCCATGGCTGATTCGTTTCGTGGCCCCATGGGGAGCTCCACCGAAGGCCCCAGTGGGGAGGGGGGGCACATGCGTCCCCCACGCCCAGGACAGCGTTTCATGGCCCCATTGGGAGCTCCACCGACGGCCCCAGTGGGGGGGTCCACATGCGTCCCCCACGCCCAGGACAGCGCTTCGTGGCCCCATAGGGAGCTCCACCGAAGGCCCCAGTGGGCGGGGCCACATGCGTCCCCCACGCCCAGGACAGCGTTTCGTGGCCCCACAGGGAGCTCCACCGAAGGCCCCAGTGGGGGGGGGGGCGCATGCGTCCCCACGCCCAGGACAGCGTTTCGTGGCCCCATAGGGAGCTCCACCGAAGGCCCCAGTGGGGGGGATGGGGCCACATGCGTCCCCCACGCCCAGGACAGCGTTTCGTGGCCCCATAGGGAACTCCACCGAAGGCCCCAATGGGGGTCCACATGCGTCCCCCACGCCCAGGACAGCGTTTCGTGGCCCCATGGGGAGCTCCACCGAAGGCCCCAGTGGGGGGGATGGGGCCACATGCGTCCCCCACGCCCAGGACAGTGTTTCGTGGCCCCATGGGGAGCTCCACCGAAGGCTCCAGAGGGGGGGCCACATGCGTCCCCCACGCCCAGGACAGCGTTTCATAGCCCCATAGGGAGCTCCACCGAAGGCCCCAGTGTGGGGGGTGGTCGCATGCGTCTCCCCCATCCAGGACAGCGTTTCGTAGCCCCATAGGGAGCCCCACCGAAGTCCCAGTGGCACAGTTCGCATGCGCCTCCCCCGCCCAGGACAGCGTTTCTTGGCCCATAGAGAGTACCACCGAATGCGATACTCACAACGACGGTCTTCACAACCGCATATGGTTGGGTCCTTCGCCAGGCTAATTTTAAGCAGGCGCGAACATTGCGTTCCAGCCAAGGAATCCATATTGTATAGATGGGAAACACACGGGCATGGAGTGCGTGATTTGAGCGTTTCTCATCGGGGGCTTCCTCATTGCTGGTGTCTGCGGGAACAAATCACATGCGGTTTCGAGCAGAGGTGCAGCTCGGGGATGCACCCCCAGGAGGCCGTTTGGGCACACCTCTATCCCGGATGGACGCCCCACCTTGTATATCCCCGCGTTTGGCCCTACGTATGTACACATTCCGTTCCGTCGAACATCCGACAATGTGGGGATATTGGAGTCGCCAGAGGAAGAGGAGGAGGAGGAGGAGGGAAAGGAGGCGGAGGAGGAGGAGGAGGAGGAGGAGGAGGAGGAGGAGGAGGAGGAGGAGGAGGAGGAGGAGGAGGAGGAGGAGGAGGAGGAGGAGGAGGAGGAGGAGGAGGAGGAGGAGGAGGAGGAGGTGGAGGGGGAGGAGGCCCACCCAGTACAGCGTTTCGTGGCCCCATAGGGAGCTCCACCGAAACCCACAGTGGGACTGGTACCGCCCACATGCGTCCCCCACATCCAACTTGACATTTTCACCCGCCCAGTACAGCGTTTCGTGGCTCCGCTAGGGAGCTCCACCGAAGCCCCCAATGGGACCGCCCGCATGCGTCCCCCACATCCAACTTGGCATTGTCACCCACCCAGTACAGCGCTTCGTGGCCCCATAGGAAGCCCCACCGAAGCCCCCAATGGGACCGTCCGCATGCGTCCACCATGCCCAATTTGGCATTTTCGCCCACTCAGTACAGCGTTTCGTGGCTCCGCTAGGGAGCTCCACCGTAGCCCCCAGTGGGACCGCCCGTATGCGTCCCCCACGCCCAACTTGGCATTGTCACCCACCCAGTACAGCGTTTCGTTACCCCATAGGGAGTTCCACCGAAGCCCCCAGTGGGACCGCCCGCATGCGTCGGCATTGTCACCCACCCAGTACAGCGATTCGTGGCCCAATAGGGAGCCCCACCGAAGCCCCCAGTGGGACCGCCCGCATGCGTCGGCATTGTCACCCACCCAGTACGGCGCTCCGTGGCCCCATAGGGAGCTCCACCGAAGCCCCCACTGGGACCGCCCGCATGCGTCCACCATGCCCAATTTGGCATTTTCACCCGCCCAGCCCAGCGTTTCGTGGCCCCATAGGGTGCTCCACCGAACCCCCCAGTGGGACCGCCCGCGTGCGTCCCCACAGGGAGCTCCACCGAAGCCCCCAGTGGGACCGCCCGCATGCGTCCCCCACACCCAATTTGGCATTTTCACTGGCCCAGTACAGCGTTTCGTGGCCCCATAGGGTGCTCCACCGAAACCCCCAGTGGGACCGCCCGCATGCGTCCCCCACAGGGAGCCCCACCGAAGCCCCCAGCGGGACCGCCCGCTTGCGTCCCCCACACCCAATTTGGCATTTTCACCGGCCCAGTACAGCGCTTCGTGGCCTCATAGGGAGCCCCACCGAAACCCCTAGTGGGGCCGCCCGCATCGTTTCCCACACCCAACTTGGCAATTTCGCCCACCTTTTACAACGCTTCGCGGCCCCATGGGGAGCTCCACCGAAGCCCCCGATGGGACCGCCCGCGTGCGTCCCACACGCCTAATTTGGTATTTTCACCCACCCAGTGCAGCGTTTCGTGGCCTCATAGGGAGCTTCACCGACGGCCCCAGTGCTACCGCCCGCATGCGTTCCTCCCCCGCCCAGCGCAGCGTTTCGTGGCCCCGTAGGGAGCTTCACCGAAGAAGGTATTCACAATTGCGGTACCCACAACTTCATATGGTTGGGTCCTTCGTCAGGATATGTTTTAAGTTTTTTTTTTTTTTTTTTTTTTTTTTTTTTTTTTTTTTTTTTTTTTTTTTTTTTTTTTTTTTTTTTTTTTTTTTTTTTTTTTTTTTTTTTTCATTTTTCGTCCACAATCCGCTTGTTGGGGGACATGCCCGACCTAAGTGTAGTTCCATGCCGTATACCGGCGACCCGCAGCCGCAGCTGACTGCCTGTGGGACATCGCACAGATATGAGTCCGATGTCCATGGTCTGCATGTACGCCATTTGACATTTCCCCTGCGTCGTGCACGCCGGTCGTTGAAAGCAGGTATTTGGGCATCCAGATCCCAATGTACTTCAAGCTCCTCCCTACTTCAAGAGTCGACCTGTTTTATTTTTTGTCTTTAGTTCCGAACCATCCTGTGGTGTTGGGTCCTCGTGTTTGAAGAGACGGTCCCCACGTCTCCTCTCCTCTCCTCTCCTCCTGCTGCCCCTCCTCCCTCCTGGCCCTCCTCGCATATTCCCTCCGCATGTCTTTGTTTCGGCACGCCCCTCACACGTTTCGTGGCCCCATAGGGAGCCCCACCGCAGGCCCAAATGTCAGCGTTCGCATGCGCCCACCGCACCCATTTTGGCACACCCCTCACACGTACGTGGCCCCATAGGGAACTCCACCGAACCCCCCAGATGCCAGCGTTCGCATGCGCCCACCGCGCCCATTCTGGCACACCCTTCACAAAGTTAGAGAACCCTTAGGGAGCCCCACCGAAGGCCCAACTTCCAGCGTCCGCACGCGCCCACCGCACCCATTTTGTGCACACCCCTCATACGTTTCGTGGCCCTACAGGGAACCCCACCGAAGGCCTAAATGCCAGCGTTCGCATGCGCCTTCCGCGCCCTTTTTTGGCACACCCCTCACACGCTTCGTGGCTCCATAGGGAACCCCACCGAAGGCCCGTTCGCATGCGCCCACCGCACCCATATTGGGACACCCCTCATACGTTTCGTGGCCCTAAATGGTGCCCTATTGAAGGCATAAATGCCAGCGTTCGCATGCGCCCACCGCCCCCATTTTGGCACACCCTCGCACGCTTCGCGGCGCCATGGGGAACCCCACCGAAGACCCAAATGCCAGCGTTCGCATGCGCCCACCGCACACATTTTGGCGCGCCCATC